GAAGAGCGAGATAAATCTGCACCAACGATCCTTACTATTGTTAAAAGTCCGAAAGTATCCTCAAATGGAGAAGATGAAGGTATTAGCTCCTCGGAAAGATCCAGCAGCCCCGAAGATACGAAACATCAAGCGAAGATCAATCGGCAGAAGAGTTCGCCCACGCAGAGCAATGATCAGGAAACAACGATAGACGATGTAATCGAGGAACTGAGAATCATCGTGAAGGATGCCGAGGAGGAATTCAGTGACAAAACTCAAGAACTGAATCGTCGTGCTAATATGGATCAAGAAATCGTCCGTAATGAACAGGAATCGGTTAAAACAAAATTATACAGATCGAATTCCAAAATCTCGTTAAACAACTCCGAAAGTTATATGTACGAAAAACTATCCAAAAGGGATCAGTATGCAGATTCGAAAATGTTAAGGTCAAACGCGTGCTCCAATGCATCTCAAAATCAAACGAAAGACGAGCAAGTTACTTATTTTGGCAACGATCAAGATTACAGTACAGACTCGAGCGGCACGAAGAGGCTGAACACCGATGTGCCGCGCAAGACGTCCAAGTCGTCGATGGAGGGCAGCGTGAAGATTATCGTTAAGGGACCCGACGTAGAAGAGGCGATAGTACCGGCCATTTTGCATCCACAACCACCAAGAAGAGCGCCACCATGCTTATCGGCTATTATAGCCGCCAGGCATTGCGATCTCACTGATCATGCGGAAACATACAATTCTCATGACGAAGAAATCGAAGAGGAAACTCTGGGCGATGGTAGCGATTCTCTGCTGAGCGCTTCCAGACTCAAGTATAACGGCAAACATCAAATTTACGACGAACAGATTAGAAATATTAACGCGAATCAAGTGCAGAAATTAGATAAGAACGATGCTGTTAAATTCGGGAAGAGCATTGATGATTTGCGCCACTTCGAAGAGAGTGAAAACGCGAAAGACAGAAAAATTGTGAGAGGCTATGACATCTCGAGCGGATCCAAGTCAAGAATTGTTACGGATATCGGGCCGATTAACAGACAAATCGACGTTTACAGACAATTCGATTCTATTCCCAAAGGATTCGAAACATCCTCCGGACAATCCATCGATCAACGGACAATTCGTCGACATAGCTCCAAGTATAGAAGCGAGATAGAAAAGAAAAAATACTTACGTCGCTCAGCCAGTCATGATTATCTCGAATCAAACGTGTCCAGTCCGTCACAGTCGAGACGGTCAGGTAGCAAAGTGGAATGTCGCATCAGAAAGTTTGAGAGTTTAAATTCTTTCGATGAGCATCGGAGTTTACAGAATTACGGCAGATCAAGCGGTTCGGAAAATCTTGGTAAAAGAGAGCAGGCATTACTACTGCCCGATCTTTCCAAATTTAAGATGCGCAGATCGGAATCTTTTCATCACATATCCCATCGCGTGTCGAAAAAGGACCAGTGCTCGTCAAAAGGAGAAAGTGACAGCGGTCTTTTTTACGTCACGGACTTTAATCTGGAGCCTCTTGTCACGAGAAGACCGCGATCAATTGACGCGCCAAAATCTCCTAATCCGCTAACGAAATCTCTGGACAGGATTGATGAGGGTCTAGATTCGATGGTCGACATCGTTATTACGCAAGAGCAGAGTCAATGGAATGGAGGTAAACGTCAATCAAAAATGAACAAGTCCCGCGATGAAAAGCAACTCACGAGATCAAAATCAATCAAACTTGATGATTTTTGCGGTAACTCTTCCGAGCTTAAGAAGCAGATAAAGCGAGACAATTCCGCTTCTAGGAACAAGCATTCGAGGAATGAAGAATCCGTATTGTATCACGTTAACAATAAGCAGTTGAGAAACGATGAATTTTACGAACAACAGAGAACTCGCGAATGGAATTATCATAACGAGTTGAATTATGCCAAAAGCAAGGATGACATAAACTTAGAAGATTCACCGGTAATATTGTCGAAAAGCGGCATGAGACATAATTCCTTTTGTCAGAAAGATAACATCGGTAATAAGTTTTCCGGTAGGCCGAACGAATCGGGAATTTTCGCTGGACGAACGTACGATACATTCGGTCTCGGAAAGAGTCGCTTCAATGCGGGCAAATACTCGGGGAATCAACAAACTAAAGAGAACCCGATTGGCAGAAGAAACACGACTTCCTCGTTGATTGGAAAACGTGGGAAGGTAACAGATGATGTCTCAGGACTTTACTAAATGTGTGAATTTTGTACGAGGTTTTAAAGAGCCAATATATAAATAGAAACTCTTCTTCTTTATATAACAAATGAAATGACAAATAATTCTTGTTTAATTAATTTAAAAACAAAGTAATTAATATTTTAAGTCGGATTTTTATCAAGTAATAAATAAAGAACAAAATTAAACATGACAAATACACCTTAAATCGTTCTTCTCTGAAATAATCACAATTTTTTTTTTAAATATAAAATAAAAATTTTTTGTTTAATCTGTTCGATTTTAAAGCTTCGTTTTAGAAATCATTTTGAACAAAAAATTTTATTAGAAAATTGACGTAAAAATACGATTATCTTATTTTTAGCTTAAATTCAAATTACACAGCAAAAGAGAAATAGTTTCATCACTATTATTCATCATTATTTTTCATATCGTCCTATAGCAAAGTAGCAAGATATTAGCTTTGATAAATTATGATGTCAAAAAATTTGTATATAAAAAAGCACAAGGACAGAAATATAAATGATACACATTTCATAAATCAATTAGTACGAGTACATTATTTTCTATCAAATGGAAATCGATTAGAAAATAAGAATGATTTTGAGTGCAATATTTTTGAGTATTATTATGTTATCATATCCATGTATGATTATATTTACATCAAATATACAATGAAAAAATGTTTGATGATAAGTAAATTTTGGTGATGGACTCCTGTGTGCCTTCACTACATTGTGTGATATGGTTCTTTATTAACAACGATTATATATTATTATACAATAGTTTAAGCGCTAACACCAAGACTATTTCATAGATTTCCATATATTACACATGTATATAATAGGTATAAAGATGATAGAAAAATGTATCTTTCTGATTCTTATGTATCAGGAAAATAACACTTAGGCCAAGCAACAGGGTGGTTATTAACTTTTAAAAATTATTCTTTACATTGGGGGAAATAAAAATAAGACTTTTATGTTAAGAAATGACTTTATTTCTATATATCGCTTTTAATTTATTGTTTTGTATGCTTAATATCAAATAAAGAGATTATATTACATTCTATTTAATTAAAACTTTTTGTCCTGTACTGACGTACAAGATCAAATAAGATTTAATTTCAGCTCGCAGTAATATGTAACAGTGTGCTTGTAACCTCGCTGAGCTCATGACAGGAACCACGTGTATTTCTATGAACCATTTCTGAATTATTTGATGCTAAAGGCGCAAATAATTTGTCATGTGTTTGCTCGAGAAATTGTTGCGAAGATTTGTCTGAAAATAAAACGAAATGGATAAATATATATCTTGAGTATATACAAATAAAACGTATTTTTTAATTTTAATACGATAGTAGTTGATATTATGTTTAACATATGTCGATTTCCTTTATTTTAAAATCATCGAAATGGAGCAGTTTTTTTGTATTCTAAACATTTTCCTTGATTTCTACCACACTTCCTCATTTTTACATAGTCATGTGATCATAGGGGAAATGTAAGTAAAACAAAAATAAAACCTTAATTTATAGAAAAATCTTAGGTTTAAAGAAAAACAGATTAAAAAAAAAAAAATTTAAATAGAAAATTTTGAAATAAAGAAGATCGACTATAATACAATTACAATAGATGATTCAATTACTTTGAGTTGTCGATAACAAGTAAGAGAGCTCTTCCTGAGTCGAAACGTATTGGAACTCGTCGCCACAGGCGCCTTTCAAGACAGTAACAACATCTGATTTTGGATTATAGAAGTACAAAGCCTGTTTACGACTACTAAACTCATTAATCAATGTTTTGATACCCTAAATATAAAAAAAGCAATGTGTTTAAATTTAAATAAGACTTACATCATATTATATCTTTAAATATATTATTTGATTTTCAAAGATATTATACCTTAGCAGCCGTAAAATCTGCTCCTAAAATATATCTACAATTGACAACAACTGGCACTTGACTTGATCCTTGCTTTATACCAGCATTACCAACTGACTGCTTTATAAAATCAACAGCTGGAAAATACAAACTATTTCCTGGAGTAATCAACAAGTAATCTGCGCCAGAATCAGTCTATAACAAATGCAATATAAATATTATTAAAATAAAAATTTAGACATAAAATAATGAAAATGTGATTATTTCAGAGAACAGTTAATACAACTAATACCTTAGAATGATGAAAAAGAAAAAAAAAATTATTTGAGTTTTTGCTACCTACTGTACATTTGTCGATGTGGACTGTAGGTCTTGCGGAGGGATATAATAAAAACATTAAATTTATGCCAACACCTAACAAGATACCATACTCCACACCAATGATGAGGCAAAACAAGAAAGTAACAAACATCGGTATAAGATCCTTTTTGTTCGATTTCCATATTAGTTTTACAACTTCGTATTCGATCATATATATTACTGCGCAAATGATGACAGCTGATAATGAAGCTAAAAAGGAGTGTAATAATTATACCCCAAACTATTTATTGTGTACTGTATTGTATGTGACAAAAAGTTCGCTACCTTTTGGAATAAAATAAAAATACGGCGTGAGCAGACTGAGAGCCAGCAGAATCAGAATTCCGGTATATAATCCACCCATTGGAGTCTTCACGCCACTGGCATGATTTACCGCCGATCTGCTGAACGATCCCGTAACTGGCATGGAACTCGCGCAAGACCCAAGAACGTTACAAATCCCGAGCGTCAAGAGCTCTTGGGTGGCATCGACTTTACCCTCGTTCATAAAAGCTTTAGCTATGGCTACGTTGCCGAGTACAGCTATTATCGGTACTAATACTATGCCGGTATTCAACTCGGAACACATTTGCGTGAAGGTAAATGTTTGATTGTTTACTTGTGTAGAAAAAGGTGGAAAGCCAAATGGTGGAAGACCAGATCTCACCGGACCTGTTAGAATAAACGGAGAGCCAGATTCGGACGTATCATATTTGTACGCAATAGCGGAGCAAATGACAACGACAATGGCATTTCGCGCTGTGGAGATCAACCATATCATTTTCGTAAAGATCTTTGACTTCTTACCAATGTTATTTAATTTGATATCCTTCATTTTCTGTAAAACGTATAAAAAAAAAACTCATCAAGAAAATGTACATCAAACGTAATACAAATATATGTTAAACAAATATAAAATTTTATGAGCACATTACCCTAAATAACAATAGAATCACAATACAAGAAAAACTCATTCCAGCGTCCCATGGATTCGTGTCATTAATATTCTGAAAAACTTTTATCAAGGTATCCAAAAATCCTTGCGATGAGATTTTTAAGCCTAACAGACCTTTCAATTGTGAAGCGACGATTATAACAGATGTTGCTGACGTAAAGCCCACAGTTACTGGTATCGAGATAAAGTCTATAAGTACACCTACGAAATTATTTTTTATGTGAAAAATTAATAATATCCATTCAAGATCAAAGACATAAAAAAAGATTCCTAAAGTTGCTTCAAAATGGCAAGAGAATCTATTTCAAAACTTTGAAAACTTTGAAACTCGCAATAATCTTGCGCACACAAACTTCGCGTAATTTGTATCTTGCGTATTTAAATAAAAACGTTTTTTTATTCATTCGAAATTTTTACTTTGTATCGCATATATCTAATGCGTTCATTTAAATAAAAGCATTTTACTTATTCGTTGAGTCAGCATACCTAGATGTAAACAGGCCATTAGTAACTGCAGGCAGCCAGATAAAAACGCAAGGAGTATCGCGAAATCTGCATTTTTCCCTTGCACATAATCGTGAGTCATTAATGCCATAAGTGCGGTGGGCCCAATCGTAATATCTTTACAGGAGCCGAATATCGTGTAAATTATTGCTCCCATGAACGCCGAGTAAAGACCATACTGAAAGCAGATGCTGTATTGCATATTCTCGCGATTTATAATTTATCTAACACAAAAAGCAACGTAGAAAATACAGCGTATTATATTATTCATTATTAATAATTCCATATAATACTAGTGAATGTATACATAGATATACATAAGAAATATTTCGTATTTTATTTATATGAAATGTGTGTGTGTGTGTGTGTGTGTGTGTGATATTGTTTTGTATAAAGTATTATACCTGAGGTTCCAAACCAGCCAATGTCGCGTATGCGAGTCCCTGCGGCATAACTGTGAGACCAACCGTGATGCCGGCTATCAAATCGCTAAGAAACTTTTCCGAATCATATTTCGATAGCCATGCTAAGATGGGAATACGTCTCGATGCTAATTTATGTAGTCGATTGATGCAAATTTTTCTCTTCCAACATTCGGCCTCAGTCGCCATTCTGGATCAAGTCAGATTTGTGAAATCAAAGCGATAAACAAATATATGTGTAAATATATAAATCTTCCTATTATTTTTTTATATATTATTTCTTTTATTTCCACATTTTTTATGTTTATTAAATAATAGTACGTTAACAGTGTGTTGACGATATTTTAACATTTTGCATGCGGACGGATGAATATTTACCCTTTGAGATTAATTTATCCACATATAAAAAAAGATTGAACCAATCACTTAGTATCGGATTACATATATTTTTTATTGCCGTTAAATGGTAAATGTTTATAATAATAATTAGAAGCTTTATTTGTTAACCACTCTTATAGTTTCTAACGGATTTATTATTAGTCTCAATTAATCAGAAGTGATTGGTGAATATAATTACTGTTATTATTACTCCGTAAAGCTTCTATATAAATTATTTTAAAAAATATCCAGTTTATCTCTTATTATATACAAACTACACACATATGTGTAAATAAATGATGTTTTTTGGATTGTATGACATCGATAAGAGCTATTTATATTTTGTTGTAAAATACGCATTATATAATTACGCATATATGATAATCAATTTCATAACGCTTTTCTGTCCTGAAAATCGATTGAATTACACATATATGATATGTATATGTTGATAGCAAACGCGTTAATTTACATTTATACGTGTAAAATACATGAATAAAGATGAGAACTTTAATTATGATTTTATGTATGAATACTTTTAATATAAATTAAAATTAACCGTTTATATATATAAAGTATATCAATCGTCTTGTATATATGTATTCATATATGTATATATATATGTATATATATATGTATATATATGTATTATGTACATACGCGATTCTCTCGATGTCTCGGTAAGAACGGAGGATATCGGTGCTGCTAGCTACGTGGTCGTGCCATGTGTTTGGAACGTCAGGCAACTAGACACGTTTCTCGAGACAAGTTTTTGTTATCTTATTTTATCCGAATAGTCGTGCACCGAATTGTATTCACTTTTCTGTTTAACAGATTGTTCTAAGAGGTCAGAGCATGACGAATAAAATGCAAAAGAAAAAGAGAAAAGAAGTTACGTAGAAGAAAGCGATGATATCTAAAATGATATTTATCCATTTCATCTTATATTATGTACTCAAATGATCTGAATATATAATTTTGTACGACAATAATACGATTTCTTGTCGCACGATGTATCTAGTTATTTATATAGTTATCTTGAATGTCGCCGCATTGAATGCCACAACCGAGTCGATTCTCTATCGAATTTCCACAAATTATTCTATAATATAGAACCCGATAAATGTGACGGAGAGAAATATTGACTTACCGAAACGTCAGAGTGGTGAATGGTCGATAACTCTTATGACTATTGATGCTCTCCATCGGCGTGCCCCAGAAATCGTCGTTGAGCACGCTGCTCCACGATGCCTCGCCGATCACATCCCTGTTCCTCACCACCGCCGGTATATCGTCGTGTACGAAGTCGCAGTCGAGCGCATTTAGATAGCAACCGACCGCGACGAGGGCGACCGCCGCGTAGATACACCATCCGGGTGGCTCGTTCGCCTCAGTACCATTGCATCCGCCGCGCCCGCCCCTCTTGGCCGACGTCTGACAGAAGCAAGAGGAACCGTTGTTCCGTCGCTTCATGATACTCGGCGTTGCTTGATACCACGCATATATATATATATATATATGTATTCATATCACGACCGTTTAGATACATACATAAAAACACATATATATACATAGCAATGAATTCTTCCCTATTGCTCTGAATGAATCAGTGTCGTTATCTGGAACGCGTATACGGTTGGTCGCGAAAGAATTGATAGTAGAATTTATTGTGAAACACATAAACATGCAGTACAAGATTATGTATTGCGCGTCCTTGGAAAAGTGTACTATTAGAGTTTACCATAGATAATAAATGTAGAACCGTAACACCGTAACAATAATCAATTGAGGATAGGGAGAGAGGTGTCCGCAAAAGCAAATACTTTCACTAGGAGAGAAACGAATTTCGCCAAACATGTATATTTCGTTTTTCTCTCTCTTTCTCTCTTCTCTCTTTGAGGTCACTTTAATTCGTAGAAGCTACGAGAGCTATTTCCGTGTAATGACATTTATTATCGAAATTTTTTGTCGGGATTGCACTCAAAGTTTGCACTGCGATTGAAAATTCCGGCAGACCGTAGACTGAAAGTACGCGTGTCTCGTGGAGCCCCTTATATACCCGGATAAGGAACTTGTTGGTCGGGGAAAAGTTGCTGTTAACCTTCGCACTTTTTTACAGAAGTCACAAAAAATACGCATAAAATGATCAATATCCTTATTTATTCCACTAAATATATCTATTAAGATTCGTTTGAAAGATCTTGCGTCGTTTTTGCGACTCTCTTATATTGAAAATTTAAATATTATATATATGTATTTGAAAGTTTATAAAAATTCTATATATACTAGTTAATAGAAACCTTGTACGCTTTATTGTAGAAAGAGTTTCAAGATTGACCGGATTAATCATTGAATCGCTAAATACTTTCCAGATAATAAAAAAGTTACGCAGATTACGCGCTTAATAAACACATGCTAGTGATTCAGCGATTCTTCATGGATTGATAATGCGTTTAATGCACAATTAAATCTCATACATTTTTATATACATACCTGATTGAGAATCTTACTCTAAAAGGGCCAAAAACGCATTAGGAGTCGTCGAACGGCGTGTACGTGTGAATATCTTGTACTATTTTTCGTGGAATACCGTTCATCCATATCGACCCCATTGTTCACCAGATCGTTCGGAAGAATCGATGATGGAGAGACTCTGCAAGTGTACCGATCTGTTTGAAAGCGAATATACAACCTTGACTTACTTATATTTCGAATCCTCTAAAATTCTAGAATCTTCTAGAATATACATAAATATGAGGTGAAATCTGCGGACGTTAGATGCAATCTAATCATAATATTGTGCGCAATCGTGATACATCCTCGCATGTATCGAGGCCTCGTAGCAGCAACGCTATTTATATATCATTTCAATTAGATTAAATTGATCTGAATTCAAACCAAAATATGCGCGTATAAATATTATAGTATAATAGTTAAGTCAGCTGATGTGCCAAAAAGAAGGCGAAAATTGCGCGTATGTTACTTGAATTAAAAGAAAGTACATCAATTAAGAATCAGAAAAAAAGAAAAACGTTTTATTTTGTTTTATTCTTGCAAGTTCAATAAACAAATTTCTGTTGTATTCCCAAAACAAAGGCTAAAAAAACGTGTACGTGCGCGTAAAAAAAAAAGAACTAAACCAGTGTGGTTTTTCATAAGAATTCACATATAACCTAAGTCCAGAAAAATTTATCTAATTTTCCAACTATTTAATTTGGAATACACATATACACACATAAAGTAATTACATAATTACATAAAGTAATTATCAAACAATTGTAATGACTTGAAGAATGGCCGCGTTCAACAGATAAAACCGCTCAGTAGCAATCAAATATGATTGGCTCTTACTTTTAGAATCAACAAATCAACGTCGAGTGTTGGCAAAACGATAACTGAGCGCTTTCTTTGCTGGGGTCTGCTCTTTATAGTTGAACTGGCTGCATTAGTTCAGAGCTTATCTTTCTCCTTCCAATGGGAAGATAATAAAAAGATAAACTCTGAACTACTGCAGCCAATTCAGCTATAAACAGACCAGAACGCAATGTGCTGAGTTTGCGAAAGAATTCCGTGAACAGATTACAAAGTGTAAGGTTTAAGTAATTAAAAATATTAATGATATTAATACGAGATATTATGTCAATACATTTTAATTTTAACTAAATGAAAGGAATGCTTTCATTTTATTTAAAACGCGCGAAAACTTTCATTTAAAAAATTGATTTCATTTATAATATCGATGAAATATAATTTTATATTTTATATTTTATAATTTACGATAATATTGATGACATTCTTGAAACGAAAATATATTTCATTAAAATACTTGCATATCAATGTATATATACATGTGTATACTTATATATCTAATAATGTAAATTAAAAATTAACAGAAACATTTCTCTCTTTTAAAATAAATTTTTTTTAGTGAGTTTTTAAAATCTATTTAAGTCGATATATCCGATTCTGTCACATTTAATCGAAAACTCGTGTAAATAATTAAAAAATCGCGATAATGTCGCTTAATTATTTGTTACGAGTATTTTGATAAAATATACATATTGTATTATTTTCTTTAACCTAAAAGAGCACTTACAAAGGAGACTGCTCCGTCGTTGATGTATCAAAATGAATCAGAATATTCACAATTCGGAATGTCGAAGAAATATTCTCGTCTTACATGTAAAAATCATAACACACTTATGCACTTAAAACTATCTTGCACAGGAACCTACTGAGATTCTGTAGAGAAATTCCTCACTTTGACAGATATTGGACTAACACCAACGTGTGCTTCGACCGGCGTCTATCCGATCTAACGTCAGCAGTCCACAGTCCACACGTCAACAGTAGACAGTGGGTCAGCAGTTCGGAGCTACCAACTGTAACGGGCAAATAAATATTGACTAAAGTCTGTTCATTTTATTTGCATTTCATATATATTTAAGGTAAATTTTCAATACAAAAATTTCCTCTTTAATTTTTTTTAAATTCATATATGTATTAAATTTATATATACATATATATATATATATATATATGTATTTTATGGTATTTAGAGATGTAAAAAACTGAACTTTCTCGAAAAAAGTGTCGCTTTTTTTTCGATGACGCTGAACTGTCAGTTCTGAAATGTCGATATTTTATTGTTTAAGAGTTGGCAAGAATGATGTACAAACCTGCGAGTTATGTCGCGCATGCGCGGAAACGAGAGTTTATCTAGAGAGAAAGCAACACTGGTTTCTGATTATTTGGAGCAAGTTGGAACGGTTGTAATTATTGGATCGACAACGATTTTAATATCTTCTTAATTTTTTTTGATTCTGTTATTATTACCGATTTAAACGTCTTTCTATAGTATATTCGAAATGTCTACGAAATCCTCAGTGGATTTGCGAGCGGAGTTGGCAGAATTAGTAAAACGTAAAGCTGAAATCGCTGTGAGTATATATATATGTCAAAAATTTTTATGCATGTATCAAATATACGTACAGAATATTATTATATATTTACATATATTTACACATATTTACACGAAAACTTGTAAAATCTTTTAATTTCTTGCACAATCTTATTTCGTACTATTTTAGCTGTAAATAAGACGAACAGCTGATTGTGGTTTACAAAATTTCGAGGTTATAACGTTAGAAAATAAATCTAAAAATATCTTAGAAAAAAACCTAAAAGCATGATTTATTTTTTAAAAGAAAAGTAACATCATTGAATGGTATTTTTTACGTTATAAGATATAGCAGCTATTAATAATATAATGCATTAGATGTATTTGTGTATAGATAAGTTAACTTGTAGGTTAATTTTTGCAGGATACGTTAGCTAACTTAGAACGTCAAATATATGCCTTTGAAGGAAGCTATTTAGAGGACACACAATTATACGGAAACATAATAAGAGGTTGGGATAGGTATTTAGCAAGCAACAAAAACACTAACAGTAAAGCTGACAAACGTAACAGAAAATTTAAAGAGGCTGAGAGATTATTTTCTAAATCATCTATTACATCTATGGCAGTAAGTAAATAAATTTTTTAAATAAAATTTTATTTTGTATATATACATTTTATTGCATAGAAAGAGCAAAAATTACTATTATATTATTATCTAACTAAATAATTACACTTGACTTGTAATCTTCTTCGTAATATTTTGTAAAATTATTTTAATTTTGTTAGAGTGCAATAGCTAATTACATTGTTTCTTGTTACAGGCAGTTAGTGGACTTGTAGAGAATGCACAAGAAAAAAGTAAGGATCTCAATGGATATTCATGATTATTATATTATGATTATTTATTTATAAAAATAATATTCTTGTATTTTGTACACATTTTTCTTTATTATTCTCTTTTTCGTAGAAACAATGATAATTTTATGAATGCATAAGTAGTTACTTGTGTTTGACTAAGTTATCTGATTGTGTTATTTTGTATATATTATTATGTTATAAATAGATTATATCTGCACTGATTTTTCTCTTGTTTGGATTGCTTCACATCTATAAGAATAATATTACTAGAGCTAGCATTTGATATCTATATCTACGAATATAAAATATCATTAATACAACTTAATATTAGAGTATTAAGAATCTAATATTAGAGTGCAATGCTGAGCTTAAGTAATTAAATAATTCTTTTAGTTTGAATAGAATTAGTTGCTATATATCTGTTATGTGTTTAGTAGCATATAAATAATACTTTATTATAAATTATATAATGGTATTGTTCTTCATTTTCCTATTAATCTCTATAAAAAATGTTGCACACACACACACACATACATGTATCTCGAGACTGTGTAATTGACCATGCTTTAAGAGAGTATTGATATAAACTTTGCAAGTAGAGTAGCAAATAAATAATTATAACAAATTTTGTAAATATTTATGTTACACATAAAAGTTTATTTTCTAATACAGAAAGGAGACCATACTCGCTGCGAGCATAGTCTGGATGAAAATTCTCTACATATTTCTAACATTTGCTTATGCACCTATTTTACTTCATCTGCAAACAATATCTATTTTCGCTTACTTTCTCTCCATTTATACATCGTTAATATGAGATCCCTGCTTAATTCCAGTTGAACGATACAGTGAGTCGGAGTCTCAAATTGGAAATAGTGGAAGTGAGGACAATTGCAACTTTGGCAATTCAAATGCAATCTCTTCTAACAATAATAAAGAAGCTAGCGGAAAAAATCATACTTCTATTCAAACTGGATATGCCCAAAATAATGGCACTCTTAATAGTTCGGAAAATACTTCAATTCAATTTACAAATGGATCAATGTCCAATGGAAATTTAGAACACATTACCACACCTGTCAAAGAATGTCACAGTAATAGCAAAGACTCAAATAAAAATAAATCTACAAACAGCGCAAAAAAGAATAGCAATAAAAGATCTAGAAATAGGTAGAAATTTTCCTAATTATACATATGTATTAATGGTACATGCATTAACTCTTTGTTACATGGCATTAAGCGATACAAACATTGCACTCGTTATTTATGAATGACGAGCCTAGAGACTAGCTCTAAGAATCTTTACTCATTTATAACATTGTATTCATTATGTTCATATTTTTGGTGCATAATATTTGAAACATATTAATATTAGGAGGGCGATTTAGATACGTTTTTGTATATAACAGAAACAAAACATTTCCATTTCAACTTAAACTATATTAAAAATATGATTAAGTTAATACATTTTATCTTACGCTAATAAATTAATTTCTATATATTATATGTATATGTATTAATAAATATAATTAATACGTTAATACATGTTATAAAAAGATAAAAATAATCTTTTGTACTTATAATACTTGTTGCAATATTAATTCTTGAGAAGCTATTTTTTAAATTTGCTGAAAAAAGTACAATTTTTTAGAAAAAGATATAATGATAAATATACACGCAAATTCATATAAAAATTATTCTTTGATAATGCATATAACAGTTGGAAAGCTATTATATACAATATTAATAATTACATCATTTTTTCTATTATAAATATACATCATATAAGTAAATAAAATAAAGTAATAAAAATAAAGATATATCTCAAATCTCTTCAAGATTTGTAAAATTTAAAATATTTAATTCTGTTGGTGAGAGGTCTTCATCTTTTATCACATATACATATGTATATGTATATATATGTATATATGTATATATATATATGTGTGTATATCTTATATACATCTTATATACATATATATATTTTTTGTATAAATATTTTTTTATTTTTTTCATATTTTTGACAAAGATTTTTATATTTTTCTCTTACATATAAAATTAAAAAGATTTAAAATTACAAGTAAAGAAACGCGATTATCTGAAAATACATTTATTGAATATTGTACACAAAAAGATAAGAAAATTATACACCATAATACAGAAAAAAACTGTTAATATAACAACTTTACATACATAATACATCCGAAATCGTAATAGTTAATAGTACACTATCGGGTAAGAAATAATTCCCCTTACGTAAAAATAAACCGAAAATATATAGGAGATGGTTTATACGATGCGTTATTGTTGAAAAAAGCTTGATTTTAAAAATTGGAAAATTAGCATTTTACACTTTTTCAAGTTTGACTTCTATCAATTTTATGTCATATGTTATCGAATTTATCTCGACACACGTAACATCTACTCTAATACATAAAAGTAAAACATATCATATAAAACAAAATAATAATGTATTAATTAATTGAAGAAATTATGTATAATGTATCAAGGATAAATTATATTTTTACTGTAGAAAGAACATCTTGTATCTTATATATTTTATTAGCCACATATTGTCGCGAGATTAATTCAATAAAAAATATATGTATAACAAACTAGTTAGAGATTATAAAGAAACATAAAGTTTAAAAAAACGTAAATATGTTATCAATTTTTCATTCTCTCGAAAACAAAGCTTCATATTTTATTCTACATTTTCGACTTATTTTTGCATAAAAAAAAAAAAATACCTTTTTGATTGTAATACGATTTCTCAAATATACTGTATGTTTAATGTTTAGTGAAACGTGAGATACGATATAAGATATAATATAAATTAAATATATATTGCACACATAAAAGAACCACCCTAAAATATAAAAAAAAATATATATTCTACATATTATAAGAAACTATCAATATATGCAAAATATTTGCCTAGAAAAAATACATGTTTTGTATGGAAAGAAAATTTTAGCAGAGATTAAGCTAAATATATGTTAAATTGTATGCCTGTCGTTTGTAAATACGGTACCGGGTATAAATGTTTTTATTTCGGCTGCAGAGTTTGTGTTTTTTGGAGGTTCGCTTCTGGTCACAACCGCGTTAAAGCCATTACGATCATCTGCTGTATAAGAAACGGTACGAATAGTTCCATCTGCTTCAACGACCGAATATTCTCCTTTAACTGTATCTCCATCTCGTTCTTCCCACGCTGATTTGGAGTCACCGGTATATCCATCGATTACGCCGTAATTAAAGGAATATTTGGGATACGCCTGATAAAAAATATATTTTGTATAATATCTCTTATTATTATATATTTTAGAAGGTTGTATTCGCATCGCCATTGTATTGTTCGTTCGAGTAAAATTCATCAAAAATAATTTAATTGAGAAATATGAAATTGTGTATATCTATATATGTATTAATATATATATATACATTTAGTCTTTATTCCCCTGACGTAGAGTTTTACAGATCTAAAATAGTGGCGTATCCTATCAAAAATATTTAGTGGCTATTTATCTTCCATTTTCATTATTTAACTTTTTATTTTCGTTATTTAATAGCTATTTATCTTTTATTGTTATATTATTTACCATATTCTGGATATCTTTTTCCAACGACTTCGGTTCAGTAGCTACAATAGCCGATGCAGATTTGACGATGGGTGGCGCAATGTAAACCAGAGAAGACGTTCTTGGTAAAGGCTTATATAACAGAGGCGCCGATACTTTAACGTATGTGGGTGATGGTATATTACTCTCTGGTCCAGACGCATCACTTTTCATCGATGTAAATTTCAACACGCACGCGATAGTTGGCCCGAATGCATCCAATGATGCTGAATCGACAGGAGTGCACGAGTATGCACGCCTCGAGTTTTGGAATGATTGCGAGGAATATCTACTGCAAACAAAAAAAAATCATAAATGCACAGAATATTTTTTTATCTTTCCCTTTTTCCGTAAAGTCGATATAACATCAATTTTGGAATGGTTGCGAGGAATATCTACTGCAAACAAAAAAAATCATAAATGCACAGAATATTTTTTTATCTTTCCCTTTTTCCGTAAAGTCGATATAACATCAGAAGATTTTTTTTTATTCATAATCAAATCATTTTGCACTTACTCTCGAAGATTTGCTCGACTAAAGCTGAGTAACAGAGTACACAAGAATAATATCTGAGAACAGAAAAAAGACACGTGAGAGACAGTTTCTCGCGATATTAATTTAGACCTAAATAATCGCGTCGTG